TTGCATAAGCAATGCATATCTGCTACTGACAGTTATTTCCCTTAGAAAAAGGTGCAATTATTGCAATATTTACTACAGGGCATAGGTATCAAGAATGAAATAGAATTTTTTTTTTTTTTAAAAGAACAAATGACTCAATCTGTGCAGTTTTTTTTTCTGCGCTGTTTCATTCATTCACTTTCAATCCAGCTTCAGTTTGATGAGCAAGATGCTAAATAATACAAAGGGAGGATTGGTGACTCTGCAGGTGTTTACCACACTGGTGAGAGTACTTCTAATAATTGTTTACTTGTGTATCAGAGTACTTCAAGCCGTTGCTTGCTTGTTTTTACCTCACAGCTCCCACTGCCTCTCTGAAAAGGGGTGAAAAGTAAGTTTTCATGTTTTCATCTTACATGACTTGAGCTGAATGCTTCTACAGGAAAAATGAAGTTTTAATAAGAACTAAGTTCAAATAGGTGGCTGTTTCCTTTGAGGACATCTGATAACAAAAAGGACGCAGTTGCTGTATTTCTTTCAGACTAAAGTATGTGAGTAAAACCCTGCTTTTTAAATTAGGAAGATGGGTAATTATACTTCTCTTCATTTTATTTCAGCTTTACTTTTGGAAGCTCAGTCAACACCCTTTCAAATAACTCCATCAACCATGGCAAATATTGTGAAAGGCCTGTATACACTAAGACCAGGTAAAAAGAGAAATGCTTCAGTCTCTCAGTGCTGTTGTTCTGATATATTTCACTAAATACATACGTTGCTGCTAGCTGTCTTCTATGTTTTTTACCATGCACGTGTGTTGTGTTCTGTCAGTCATAGTGCTTCGTTACACTGTGTAAAGAGTCCAAGGACCCACTGGTTCTTGCTGCCCATCTCTGTCCTGCACTAAGTGAAATGGTAACCACCTGGGTACTAAAGTTTTGTGGTTTTTTTTTGTTTTGTTTTTTGTTAACCCAAATAACACAGCAACAAACACTCTGCTCTGAAGGCTGTAGGAAGATCTTTTTCTTGCATTCTGTAACAATAAAGAAGTTTTTTTTAAGTTGATTATCACAGAGGTTTTGAAGGTGATGCATTAAAATAATGAGTTACTGACAGCAGCTTTTCAAAAGGTCAGATCTTTGATGTAAAAAGACTGACAGTTTCTTCTCTGAAGCCATTATTTGAATGGTATTGTTTCATGCAGGGCCTTAAATTAGTTCCCGACTCCATTACGGTCATCTTATGCAACAACAACTATATCTGTATAGGAGTGTGGATAGGAATATCTTGCAGAAAAGCCCCTAATTCTGTAGTGCAGTGTTCAGTATTTATACAGACCAGAAACATAGTGGACCCTCCATTTACAAAATGCATGGATAAATCACTTTTAGTAAGCAAGATTTACCTTTATGACAACAGGATTATTGTAACATTTTAAAAATGAAGGGCATAATTTCAGTAAACTGCTCAGTACCACAGAAGAGTATATAAGTAAGTGTAAAAGTGACTTATTTTTAAAGCAGTCCCATGTGGTTCTGTTGTATTGCACTTAATATGATAGATGTTGAGCTTGTGATTTCCTTACTATCCATTTCAGTTGGTTTCTGTCTTGCCTGTTAACTTCTCAGGCTAGTTTGGGCGGTATCACGGGCCTCATCAGATTTTGAGTAGTTGTCTTACATCTGTAGGGCCGTACCTACAACTTGTGAAATTTCCTCTGCACAGCTGGGTAGGAAGAGCCGGGTAAAAGATGCTGTAGTCTTTGAGAGATGCAACAAGAACTGAATCTTGTTTTGATCATACGGTTGGCACACAAAAAAATCCTACCATCTACTTGCAAGCATGTGAATATTTATTCTAAGGTTTTGGGTTTTTTAAATTCAAAGTACTAGAAGTTATTTCAGACATGGCAAAAGTCCATACCAGATCTGCTGGTAACTTCTAAAGAGTAGAATTTCACAAATGATCTCATCCATATATTTTGTTGTTGTTTTCCTTCTTACAGAATGGGTACAGATGGCACCTGCTTTATTTTCTAAATTCATCCCGAACATTCTACCCCCTGCTGTAGAATCTGAGCTTCAGGAGTATGCTGCTCAAGACCAGAAACTTCAAAGAGAACTTATGCAGAATGGGTTTACTAGGTAACGATTGCTAGTCTTCTGTAGTAATTGTGATGGACAGTAAAGGTGAATACAAGTAAAACTACTGAAGGATTAATTTAAGAGTTAATAAAGAACCCTCAAAACTCAGTACCTAAAATACAGCCTAAACTTGCACGTATTTTGAGGGCTACCAACCCCGCAGATGGGAGCCATAGCCAGAAGATTGGAAATCTTAAAGCATTTTCTTGAAATAGACTAGTTGTTGTTCGTGTCACAGAATCACCTGGGTTGGAAGGGACCTCAAGGATCATGTAGTTCCAACCCCCCTGCCTAGCAGGGCCACCAAACATACACATTCAGATCAGGTTGCCCAGGACCCCGTCCAACCTGGCCTTAAACACATCCAAGGACGGGGCATCCACAACCTCCCTGGGCAGCCCGTTCCAGGGCCTAACCACTCTCCTTGTATAGAACTTCCCCCTAACATCCAACCTAAATCTTCCCTCCTTCAACTTCGATCCATTTCCCCTAGTCCTGCTGTTGTCAGCCCTTTTGAAGAGTTTACTCCCTTCCTGGGTGTAGGTTCCCTTCAGGTATTGATAGGCTGCAATGAGGTCACCCCACAGCCTTCTCTCCTCCAGGCTGAACAAGCCCAACTCCCTCAGCCTGTCCTCATAGGGGAGGTGCTCCAGCCCCCTGATCATCTTAGTCGCCCTCCTCTGGACCCTTTCCAAAATCTCAATGTCTTTCTTGTACTGAGGGCTCCACACCTGGACACAGTACTCCAGATGGGGCCTCACAAGAGCCGAGTAGAGAGGGACGATCACCTCCCTGTCCCTGCTGACCACCCCTCTCCTGATGGAGCCCAGGATCCCATTTGCCTTTCGAGCTGCCAGAGCGCACTGCTGGCTCATGTTCAGTCTCTCGTCCATCAGGACCCCCAGGTCCTTCTCTGCCGAGCTGCTCTCAAGGACCACTCCTCCCAGCCTGTACGGGTGCCTGGGGTTCTTCCGGCCCAAATGCAAAACCTTGCACTTTGCCGTGTTGAACCTCATTAGGTTCACCCGAGCCCAGCCCTCCAGCCTGTCGAGGTCCCTCTGAATGGCATCCCTTCCTTCCACCGTATCAACCGCACCACTCAGCTTGTCCTTTGATTGTACTTCCAGTGCACAATCATGTTCTTTTTCAGGCTTTTATGTTGGTCATTTATTTTCTCTTAGCTGGCGTTTTTTTCCATGGTGCTCCTGAAAATGTCATTTAATGACTTCTCCTTATTCCGCTCCCAGAGTTATTTATACAACTAAGGTATTTATTTTAAATGAGAATTTCCCTTCTGAGCCTTGAGCTGAGGTGGAGGGGTGAAACAGTAGATGAAACAGTGGAAATTTTTTCTTCTTGTTCAGTCTGAGCTGTGCCAGTTGCTTTATGCTTTCTATCAAACTGGTTTGGTGGAGGTCAGAAAGGATATTGGCCACGTAAGGGGCAATGATTTGTCTTGTGATTTTACAAAATTGCACTAGCCTGTGCTTTGGTGCAAATGCTCTTTTGGCATAGCTTGCTTTCAATTTAATAAATAAAAAGTGCAAAATACAACTTTGTAGTGGCGTAACTGACAGCATTAAGTCTGAAAGTGTTTTGCAAAGTATTCTTTGTGGTATTGTATTTTCAGGGTGCTTGGTGTGTTCTACTAAGAATGAATGGGGCATAGAGTCTGTCATCATTAAGAGATAAAACTGAAGTGCGGTTGATACATTTGCTTCATAACATTTTGCATTGATATTTGATATGCATTTTGCCATGAAACGCATTTCAAGATGTAATATGCTGCTTACATTCCTATATAAAGCTGTATGTGTATATATGTATTTAAGGGTTGTTTTTTTTGTAATGAAGGAGCGTGTCAAGTCTGTTCTATTCTGAGTTCTTTGCTCTCCTCTAATTACATCAAAAAACTGAGGAATGCAGCACAACAAAGAGTCTTGAGCTGTGTTAATGACCTGCCAGGCTGCAGTTGGAATTGTCAGTTGATCAGCACCATTACCTGCTGTTGCTGCAAAAAGTGGGAACACAAACCAATCACTCAGTGGCATTTCTCTTGTGAATGACCTTAATCAAGGTATACTCAGCAAGTCTATCACCCTAGGATTGGTTTTAGAGGAAGAACGCTTTGTATTATTAGAACTCCCAATTTCAACCAGTTTCCAGCACTTAAGTGTGGAATTATAACTACTGTGATGAAAACATGTTGCAGTCTCTATTCCTTATATAACAGATTCAACAGCAAGGCTATCGTCACGGAAAACTTGGGAAAGCAGCAAGATTTTTCAGCTTTGAAGAGCTTGTGTGCATAAGAATAAAAGGAGGTTTAGAGGGAGATTGTGGGGTTTTCTTTTTTCTCGTTTTTTCCCTACGTGGGTACTAATATTGCTTTGAGTTTTCAAGGAGGGATGATGTCAATCTGCATTTGTAGAACTCTGCAGTTGTTGCAGTATTCTCCTTGGAGAGGGAGTGCTGTCAGCTTGGGCTGACATAAAGTCTGTCTGTTGGGTTTCCAGGCATGCTTTAGTGCCTTAGGTTGATAGGTGGAGATTTCTCAAAGTTTTAAAATTTCTCAACCAAACCTTCTAGAACTAAAGAAAGCAACTTTATATGGGACTCAAGGAAAGTGCTCATATGCACCATGATATTTATCTACATTTTGTTAAAAAATACTATGAAATTGAACTATTTTTACTGATTAAGTAAATAAAATTAGCTAATACTTATTTTAGTAGTCTGAGAATCCTGAAGTCATTTTGTGTAACTCCTGTGTTTTTGTAGTTAGTTTCTATAAGTCCATAAGAAGTTGATTGTGCTGAGGAATTTTGTTATTGTTTTCATTTGGCAAATAAACATACCTCTCTTGCTCCTCTTTTCTAGAGGTGACCAGTCACGGAAAAGAGCTGGAGAAGAGTTATCTTACAGTAAGTATGAATTTTCAACTCTGATGACGTTACTGAGCTGAGTATAGTTCCTTCCAACAAATAAGAGTAGGGGATATTTACCTGTGTGTATTTCTGTACCTTCTGAACTATGCTGTTTGTACTTTATAACAAATCTTGTTTCCTTTTACAGTAGTCTAGTAGGCTTTATAGGCAGCTTAAGAGGTAGCAGTCATGGCTTTATTTGGCTTCAGTGAGAGTTGACTGTATTGCCCAACAATCTTGTAAATATTTTGCTAGGAGATAATTTAGTCCCATATATTCTAGATTAGGATTTAAGTATGGGGTCCTGATTGCTTATCATTAAACAGCCCTGGAATTTGGTAATAGTATCTATTTCTGGTGCTGCTGTTAATTTCAGCCTGTTTTATTGCATTCTCTCCACTAAGATTCTTCATGTCCTTTCAGCAGAGCATGTTTGCTTCCTTTCTGACTGTAAAATGTTATACAGTTCTATTATGATTCTATGATTATGAACACTTATTACAAACTGAAATACATGAGTGTTTATCTAGTGTATCATCTTCAGGTTACACTGTTAATGTTTTGCAGGCAGTGCTGTTTTTAGGGTGGTTAGGGAAGGCGGGCAAAGAACCTAACATGGAACCTTAATGTGAGAATATCTTCAACTTTATTTGTATGATTTCAGATGGCTCATCAGCTTGTGCAAGCTCCAGGGGGTACAGATAGTGAATATACTGGATCAGCTTCTATTCCTAGCCACAACAGACACTGGAGGAGCGCAAGTGATATCCGGAGCCTTCTTTGGCAACTGATGATACTTGAGCTCTGACATGAACTATGCCTCGAAGAAGAACTTTGGACTCTCTTCTTCATATAATGTCAGTTGCTGCTACAATTGGGATGACTTTGAAAGACGTATCTCCTTGGTCTAGTCTCTCAACAAGTTCATGCTCTACGATTATTGTGAGGAACGCACCTTGAAAAGTAATCCTTTCGAAGTGGGAATGGGCAGCCAAAATCAGCAGCTTCCAAAAACATTAGAATGGAAGAACCTTTTTTGCACTCTTTTCTTAATATTAAGGACGTTCTTAAAACTAGTTAACATGTCAGTGAATTAGTTTTTAAACTTCAAGGTATTTTCTGGAGCTTTTGATTAAATAATAGGAATAAATTTTCATTATTTTGCAGTATTTGTTTGTTAGTATAAAAATCGTCACCTTTTAAGAGTTGGTCCCATATAAATGTATCTTCTGTCAGGGAGTCTTAAATTCCAGGTTTTTTTCTTATTTTGAACTCTGCTTTCCTATATGTTTGTACTCTGTGCCTTCAGCTTGTGCACTTTGCAACTTTATAGACCATATTTTGTTACTGCAAAATGTGTTCTCGAGGAAAAACTTGATGTGAACAAACATGCTGCAAAGTTGCACTTTTCTCTTGCATCTGTAGGAGGTGAATTTAAAGAGGAAGGAAGAAAAGTTGAACGTATTACCATCACTAATCATGACTCAGAAGTTTGTCCCTTTTCATTTTTTGTATGTATTAGTGTTCAGTGCTGGGACCAACTCTTGTAGAACCCCTCTCTAACTCTTCATTGGCCTCTGGATTGCAGTTGTTTGAGATGTGAATTCCAGACTGAAGGAAATACCATGATGTATTTTAGGCTGTGTCATGTGGAAACATTAGTTGCCACGGCTAAATTTTTTAGAGTGGATCATGGAGAAATTCTCCACTGTAGTAGGTCTGTAAACTACATCTCCGTCAGCACAAACCAGATTTGCACCTGGTCAATCAGTGAGTACCACCTTTCCAAGATCACTGTGTGTCTCCTGTGCCATTTCTCCTGGTGCAGGGATGTGATGGGGGTATGATGGTGGATGTAGTCAGAATCAGGGAGTTCAGAAGTGGTGTAACGCATACATGTGTACCTGCTTCCAGTCCTGTGTGGGCTCAGCAGGATGTCCAGCTGAGCCCAGTTCTAGGAGGTCAGGACCTATGGTCTGAATCCTTATGATTGTGACGTGAGATTTTATCCATACATGGCTAATGTAATTCCTTTGAGGGGAAAAACATACTTGAAAGAGCAGTTTGACTTTTTTTTTTTAATTACTATGGATTTATTTTTATCACTTTTAGTTATAAAGGTAAATGAGTTGGTAATATAAAATCTTTCTGAAATGAAACAGTTTTTAGTTATGTCTTGCACAACTCTTATTCCTGTTTTTAAAAAAAAAACAAGACAGAAACCCCTGTATGCTTGCATGTATTCATTCTGAAACGCAAGAAGAAGATTTAATAATAATATGTGCGGCAGGGATAAACTTTGTTTTTCTTTATGCTTTGTAGCCAGACTTCATGTGAGTTTAATGTTATCAGTTTCACATCAACCATTTTGGCAGTACCTTTAGTTTGGAGGGGGGAAGAAAGTGGAGAAGGAAAAGGACACTGTGATTGACACCATGATTGACAGTCTGATTATACCTATGTATGGCTTTGCATGCATGCAAAGAAAATTTAATTATGAGGAAGTTTTAAAATTAAAAATGAGTGCATTAGTGTTTTGTTTTCCAGAGAGAGCAATGCCAGCAGTCAGACCCTGTAGCTAACAGTGGAAAAGCAAACCAACCTGAAGAGGGATTTTCAAATGCTTGTAGCATTTGTTTCAACTTTCTACCAGCCACTTAAGTTGAAGCAACATTAAACAGAATCAGGTATATTTGTTGCTGGTACGTGGTGGAGAAATTAATGAGTGCTAGGAGGGAATAAAAAAAGATTCGTCAGCTTCCTGATTTGTATAAGTTTTGGCTTTAAACAAAAATAAAACCTCTAGTAGTGTCCTTAGCTTTAAAAATCACTCTGCTGAAATGACAGCACTCAAATTCAGAGTAGATGTGTTAACCTAACCTGGTTAAAGTCTGTTTACAACTTCATTCTCATTCACATAGTACGTACAGTAAGTGAGCTCTATCATCTTTGTCATCTGATTACAACTTTTTCTGTTTTTCAAATGTTTTTACTGGTTTAGGTTTGTAAATAACATAGTGCTTTTGCTTCGTTTGGGGCAAGAGTTTTAACATTTTGTCACATCATGCTTGGGGCACAAACTTGTAGCACAGCAGTTCCTTCAGAACAGAAAGCATTCCTGTCGGCGTGGTTCACTTCATACGCACTACAAGCAGTGCTTGGATGCTTCTCAGTCCTGTGCAGCATTCTCACTCGGCCAACATACAGGAGAAATCTGTTTGTTAATCACTGTATTATGTTGTAAATTTGGCATTAAAAATTGTGTGTTTTGGCATTATTAACATAATGCTGAAATCGTGTTTGTCTAAGAGTTTATCATTGTGACTGAGCATGAAACGGAGTACAGCATACTATACTAAATTATTTGTTTCTCTGTAAACTTGCATTTTACGGTAAAACTAACTCAGCCACCTTGAGCATTGGTACTGTAAAGCCACAGCAACTATGAACAGCATGACCCTAACTGCAGTATTTAATTTAACCAAATAACTTGTGGTAAATCCGTTGCATCTGTAGCTTACTCTGTTAAGATTAAGCAGTAAAGTTGGTTATGCAATGGGTGTCCTCTCTATGTTGCACTGGTTCTATAGCCAAACTTGCTACATTAAAATATTTTTAGATGAATTTCAGTTCTTGATTTTGAAAGTTGAAATATTGAAGTTCATGATGATTGTGATGATAGGGGATTGCCAATATATATTTAAGATGGACTTTGATACAAATCATAAAAGGGAACCCACGTAGATAAGCGCTAGTCTCTTCTGTAGTTGTATTTCTTTGATGTCTTTCAGCAGTTATTGAGGAAGTATTTGTAAAATGAATGGTTTCAAGCAATAGTCTTTTGACCTCAGGTTTAAAAACAGAATAACAGTAACACAAAGATCATGCTCTGAGTGACAGACAAATATCTTTCGTGTGTACTGTGGCAGCCCTGGGGAAAGGACCGTTTTATAGAAGTATGGAATAGTAAAAGAAACACCCACCTACTTAAATCTCTACTCTTGTCATTACCCCCAGCTCCTGCTGAGAGAAAACCAAAAGTGTTTTGACATCTTGAAATGCACCAGGTGTCATGCAGTAGAGCTCACAATGTGTTGGTTTGAGTACCTTTAGGACTGGTACATGGTTTAGTAGGAGCTATTGGGAATAGGTGAACGGTTGGACTGGGTGATCTTTTAGGTCTTTTCCAACCTTGGTGATTCTGTGATTCTATGATTCTATGGTACAGTTTCTGACTGCAACCAGGAAGTACTGCTCGTGAGGAATGGTCTCTGCTTGGGTTGTAAACTTCCTTATCTGTTCTGCTGGGATGGTGTGTGTAGCAAAAATGCTAAGTAGTGGCTTGAAGCAGTGATTGAACACCTGGTGGAAAGGCAGAGCCAACCCAGGGGGGCTCAGGTGCACGCAGTGCAGCTGAGTGACCGGAACGGATGGAGCCAGGATCCACCCCTTCCCAGCCTCATTTAAGGGTTGGCAGGGGAGGTGAGGAGATCTTGCTGGAGATCCCTGTATAGCTGAGGCCTTCTAAGGGTAAGCAAATTTTTTTGCCCCTTTGTTTCTTCGTCTACAGCTGCTGTATTTGGGCTTGTCCTTACTTGCTGCAGCCTAGGACTTTGCTACACTGCTATCATTGCTGTGCTTTCCATCAAGTTATGGCATTACAGGGCGGTAATGTGGGAATATTAGTTGGGTATAGTAAAATGTACCTCACCAGAAGGTGGCTGGGCACTGGAGGAGGCTCTCAGGGTAATGGTCGCAGAGCTGAAATAGTACTTGGATCCTGCTCTCAGGCATGGGATTTGAAGGTAGATTCTCAATCTATAGCTATTATGACTTTTGTGAAAGGAAATGAAGGTTATATTTAAAATTTTACCTCTAGCTAAGAGGAGAATTAGTAGGTAATCAGGGATCTTGCCTTCAGAAGCTTTATCTTGAGGTTTTCTCTGGTAGAAAAAGTTATTTTTTTCATGGCAAAGCTATGGATATTTGCCTATTGGTCTCCAAGGTAATGGTACAAGACAGTAGCACTGAGGGTACTGTGCTTGTAGCACTGCAGCACTTGAATTCTGGGTTTAGGTAAATGATTTTTATTTTTTTATTTTTTGGCTTACAAGCTTCAGATAAAGTGACAACCAGGGAAGATGTGTACTGGAGTAGATTTCCCAGTAACTGTAGTAGAGGAAGTTCTGTCCAATAGGACATTACTTCTTATGTCATCAGTTGGTGTGATATGGTCCCAACAAAATATTTTTATGCTCCAGTGCCTGTTAACAGAAGTTGTTCAGAGAATCTAATCTTTATTGGTACGTAAATACTCTGCCTTTGGCTTGGGTGCTGAGCCATGTCTGAGGGTGGGTAGCAACTGTTGAGTCTGAGCCTGAACCACTGATTGAGCAGCTGGGGAAAGGACCTGGTCAGCCCTGGGAGCACAGGTGAGGGCAATTCAGCTGTGTGACCAGAAGGGCTGGAGCCTGGCTGCACCTCTCTTAGACCCCATTTAAGGACTGACTGCCACTGGGGAAGGTTCTCTTTCTGGAGATCCCTCCTTGGTGAAGCTTTCTCATGTGAACCTAGAATCTTCTGATATGGGTGAACAATCTTCTTCCCTTCCCTTATAGCACCTTTCTGGTGTGCTAGCCCTTCTGTCATCACACCTCTGTAGCAATGACTTTCCCATTGTGTTGATCTGTCCAGTTCCTGCAGAGGGGAACCTCAGCTTCCGTCGGGATGCAGGAGAATGATGGTCCAGCAGTGCAAGGCAGACCACCTTGATGATCTGGCCTCAGTTGAAAGCTCCCTAACAAAGTACTTCACTGGCGGGGGGTGGAAGGATTAAATTTGAGTATTTTGACCTAACCTGAGTGACTGGTTTAAGGGGATTCCAAAATTTCATGGACAATGAGCATTCTGAAACCCCTTCTGGCTCTCCCTCTCTCTCTCGCTGAGGTGCTGTGGTGCATCTGCTTAAGTTGAAATTATTGTCCCATAGAAGCACCTAGTGACTGAAACTAAATTACTCTGAGCATACACCCAGAAAGAGTCTGCAGAGGCAATTACCATGGAACAGCTGATGTACTACAAATTCGCATCTTATCTTTGCAGTAACTGTGGCAGATAAGGCTGAGCATCACCCTTGAAATGGGTCAAGGTGTGAAACATTAAAATTGCCTATTGTAGATGCATGATGTGAATTTCCTCTATGGACAAAGTGAAGCAAACAAGAATTTCAGCAGTTCCCACATAGCACTGAATACATATCCTTCATGATTTCAGCTGTTGAATCTGTGCATTGCTAGCCATGGCATGCTGGTACCAGAACCACTCTCATTAAAGGAGCTTGAAGCAAATCTTGCCAGGCAGGACCTGTCTGACCATGCAAGGAAACAGGCCCAGTTGGTTCCTTTTTCATGAGTGGATTCTGTGTTCAGTCTTGAGGAAACACCTACTGCTCCCTGTTGCTTTTTGTAGCACATATTTTTCAAACTACACAACTCTGACTGCTACACACCTGCAGTTCCCTTGAAGTTCCCTTTAAATTTTGCTATGTAAAGATAATGTGGTATATAATCATACCAAGGGCTTTTCCTGCTGTGTCTTGGTAATGGCTGTAGTTGTCTTAGCTTGTGCCCTGCTTTCATGCTGACGATGGTTTGATCTGTTACAATGAATGTTAGGCAGAATTTCATTCAAGCTATGGAACCATTTTCTTAAAGTAGAGAGATGCATCATACCTAGTGATTATTTGATTATAATACAAATAAACTAATCATTGTATTTGTTCCCTGGGTTACAACGGCTGCAAGCATGTTCGAGTGATTGTATGCCTTCTAGTTACGGCTCCAGTTTTCTGCTTCAGAGGATGTCATATTTAAGTACAGATAAACAGGGGGGATCCTTGAGCCATGCTTCTGTTCTGAGTATTCCCCCATGCAGGTGTTGCAACTTGAAAAACTGCATGTGCTCTTGTTGATATAAATCCTTTATCTGATTCATGGTTTTATATGAAAGTCTTTCCTAATAATTCCCACTGTAAAATTTGTCTTTCCTTAATAACTGGTGCTAATATGGTGCTAATGCTTCTTAGAGCTGTCATAGTCCCAAGATCTCATTTCTGGCTAACTGCAACTCAGAGCTCCTCCTTGTGAAAAGAAAACTAGGATTGGGTTTTTCTGATGTGTCATTTTGACACTTGATATAAAAATGAGTGATCTGGATTGCTTACCCTGTTGCTTAGTGTAATGTTATCCTATAGCTCTTTGTAGCCAATCTTCTTTACTTCCCTGGGTGCTAGTTTTGCTGTTTCTCTTTTTCAGCTTTTGGTGAGCACAGCAGTTAGCACATGGTCTTCTGCTGGTCACCTCTGTCTTGCAAGAGCTGCCTGTGCCTACTGCATGGCTTTCAAATGGCAGTTTATTACTACAAGCTTCCCCATTATTGCTATCAAAGGCTCTTGCCGCATGCTTGCTGAATGATTTGCCTTAATGTAACCCAGCTATGTTTACTGCCACATGAATCCGTGGCCATTCTGTAAACTATAGAATCAAGCCTCCATCATTCGTGCTCACTGTTTTAGCATATAGGTGTTGCTGGACAGACTCATGTCTGAGCTTGGAGATGACTAATTCAAATGGGAATTTGTGATACCGTGAACTGATCCTGCTGGTGAATTGGGAGTTACCAAGTTGATTTCCTTCAGTAGAAGTAAATAGGAGAGACGTCTAGCATGAGAATACTTCGTTTTATTTAGCGAAGAGTTGCTACACTGGAAATTGCACCAACTACTGCAGATTCTCTGAGATCAGACTAACTGATCATCTGGACTTCATGATTATCCATTATAGGGTAGCAAGCAAGCTTGTAATTTGCCAAGTCATCTTGCCAGCTCAGCAACTCATCTTCTAAGCACCTGTTTGAATCTGAATCCAAACTGAGCAACTTGATTATCTTTAAGGTCCCTTCCAGCTGAAGCCATTCTGTAAGCAGGGCAGTTCAGCAGCAGCTCAGCTGCTGTGGCTAAAGTTTGGTTTTGCAGTTATTGTTGCAGAATGTTCTCCTTCATCTACAGGGTGTTTAATTCCTTGTCGTTTAAATTGCCTGTCACCACACTTGCACCTTCACATGTTAAATTAAACCACAGTTGGTGTTCAAGTTTCTGGAGTTGCCTTTGAGGTGAATTTATTTGCCAGGGCTGCTGTGTCTTCCTGGAGTGTGTCATATCTAGGCTCTGCTGTAAGAATTCAGTCATGGCTTTCTGCTTCTGAAATGTCAGAGAGAGATGGACACAACTGCTCTGAGCTCTCCAGTGCAGTGTGGGGGGGGGCAGGGTGAGCAGTGGGACCCACAGCCCTGATGCTGAGCTTTTAATTAATGGTGTAACAGCAGTGTGCATGTAGCCCCTGGCCTAACCTTTGGGGTTAGGGGCTCCTCTGCCTTATGAGCAGGGAGTCCTCTGCCCTTGAATTTACTTAACAGGACATTATTAGTTGTACCACCAAATGGTGCCTGTTTCAGTTCAGCAGTTCCCAATGCAGAACAAACCTCTGCTCTTACGTTGGTTTAGCAGCAAATCTCTGATTGTATTTAAACCATTTCAAGAGCGTTATTGATTTTGGAAAGCATTCTGG